ATACAAATTAGTTACATTTCCCTTGGAAATTTACCTTGTGACCTAATTACAAAATGTGTTTATTTGTAAGGATTATAAATATGCAGATATATTTGTTTAAAATAACATAATAAATGTCTGCATTGTCAGAACTTTTTTGACATTATATTTAAGTATAGGCAGCAACAAAGTCATACGCTTTCAAGGAAATGTATTAATGTCATATCAAGCCTTAATAATGACATATCTTCGCCCTAAATTAAATGCAATGAAGACTTGCTCAAGTTGTGTTCTTTTAAAGTTGTGTGTTTTTTCTTGGATCATCTCTTCCAAGAAGATAGGGCTGCCTTACTTTAAGGGCAGTCAGTATTTCATCAATCTTTCTTATTTATAAGCTGCCTCTCGAGCTAAGCTGTAATATGTCTGAAGTCAGAGCCTATGTCATATTCTTTCATCTGTTTGTATTCATCACATCTGATCTTACAGTATAGTAAGATCTCAGTTAATGAAGGATGAATTGCACTGCAAAGAAATTAGGTCATGAAAACCTTAGAAATGCAATTCTTCTGTTAGGCAAATGTGCCTTCTAAAGGGCTCAAAGACAAATTCCTTTAACAAGGGACCCTTCAAGCCTGGTTCCTCATCTGTTGAGCAAGCCACCAAACAATCCAGCATGCTGATTCTGCTAACTACCTCCAATCCAGCCACATTCAGACATTACAATATTGTTCCATGTGATTACTGAGTTATCTACATATTCATTCTTTTTCTTTGCAAAGATGACAATGATGATCCACCATGTCCAAGAGAGAATGTATCTGACAATTTATTATTTAGCCAGTAATAGGGATAGCACCTTATTGACATATTCTTTCACTTTCCCGCTGTCCCCTGTCAATGAAGAGAAATTTACAGAGGCCAGGATTATCAGAACTGGTTTTGAACTTTGTGAAACAGATTTTTCTTCCCTAACTACCCAAGCTATTTAGTCTATGGGACACAAACATCAAAGTGAAAAATAAGCACACAGATGTGTAAACTTTCTTTGTGGTGAAATAAAAATTAAGTAAACACACAGATGAAACTACAAATTCAGTTCTGTTCCTCACTTAAAGAAGCTAGTGTCTGTTTTCGGAACATCTTCCAAACAACTGTTTCTAAAAAGTAAAATGGAAAATGCCTGTGGTATATTACTACTATAAGATAAACTTACACTGTGTAAGTGCATAATTGATGAAAAAAATGAAAAATTAAATGAAATATTTGGGTAGCCCGGTTGCTGTATAATTTTAAAATGTTGACCAAGGATTAACAATAAAGTGACAAAAACATGTCAGGAGGCATGGTTGTCATCAACTGTGGTGATTAAAGATTAATCGCCAAGGTGGACTCTGATCACTAAAGGTTAAGCATTGTGGTGGACTCTGAAGCAGAAAGGACCTTTCGTTGTGTTTAGCTTCCTATTTGCTTTAATGCTGAAACTGAATAACCCTGCCTTACAAATGAGGGGCTTGTTCTAATACCATCGAAAGATAGACACTATGTGGAGAGAGGAGACTTAGATTCGAATTCTGAATCTATTACTTCAAGCCTTAGATAAATCACAATTAAAACAATGGCAATGGAATGTCCTTCAAATCCTCTAATCAACATCTAAATTCTACCAGTCATTTCATTTGCAATTAAATGAATCAAGATATATTTCAAGCACACTCAAGTCACAGCAAAGAATGTATATGTCTTTTGTTGGTGCATGCCTTTGTTTAGTTGTTTTGAGTGAGACCAAGTTGACCTTGAACTCATGACCTTCCTGCCTCAGCCTCCCAAATACTGGGATAATTGACACGTGGCAAGACATCAAAGGAAATGCTTATTAACATAAGTATCTTAATCATGCATCTTAGAAAACTGTGAAACTTTGGAGGAATCACTATACTAGTTTTGAAGTTATCTCTATTTTGTTCCCTGAGAAGGTTTGCTGTTAAATATTACTGTATAGACTTAGGCTAGAAACAAAAACTATTATGAATGCATTTATTATTCATCATATTGGTTGCTTTTTGAACTCTTAAAATTTGTATGTTATAATATATAGACTACTGTGTGTTTAAATAAAGTGCAAATATAAATAAAATTAAAAGAGACATCCATCAACATTGTAAACCAGCACAAGATATTGTAAACTTAGGTATTAGTTTATATATTGATTGTCCTAAGTTTTGGTTTAAAATTTGTCTAGAATTTAGTTCAATTAGATAGTTTACCTGAATTTGCCTTTGACCCTCAAATTTTAGAGAAAGAAATTAAATAATCACTTCATTAAAAAGAAAAAAAATGTTGCATTTTTTATTCCTGAAATTAAGAGGCTTCTAAAAAATCAAGTTGGAAAACTGCTGCTAGCTAAAGCACCACATAATAGGAACTGTATTCTGTTTTCCTCATTTAATAATGGTTTCAAGCCACTATCCCAGTTTATTTTCCCTCCATGCTTCCTTTTCCTCAGCCTTTTTCTCTTTTTACCTTGTACCCTCAGTAAAATAATGCACATGGAACATTCTACTATTGACAACTTGTTGATGAAATACCTATGTCATTCACACAAGTGTTAATATGTTTTTGCAAGGCAAATATTTCCTTTAGACCTGTCCTCTTGATGGTACATAATTAAGAACATTACATACTCAACAATGTACCAGTCCCATATCAGTGCACCTGTCTCTTTACCTGTTCTATTTGATTGTTTTGCATAGTCTTAGTAACTACAGAAACTTTAGATCCAGGAGGTTCTTGAATTCTTTATAAGAATTTTTGAAAAATAAAAATGAGTAAAATAAAAGAATTCTTAGAAATCTTTGCTATACTTTATGACACATTAATTTGCATGTTCATAGATAATTCTGAGACAATTTTAATATTGTGACAGAAATTAGAATTATGTTAGAATACATTGAATTGAACTTATGCTTATCACAAAAAGCGAGCAGTCAGCATTACTCCTTCCTTTACTTTGTCCAGTCGTGATCTATGTTTTTAGTGAAGACTCTTTATTTTGGGATATACTATACATATAAATTACCCCATTACTACACAAAAGGTAAATATCTCTGGAGGGAAAATTAAGAGATCCTTTGATTCAGCGTCTAACTCACTTATTGTTCACACAACATACTATACATGAACATCTGCAGCAATTGTAAACTTAAATACATGGTTTTGAGTGTTCTTCTTAGTTCAACACTACATGTAATTAAGAAAATTTCCATATTTAGAAAACCAAGAGTAAAGTTAGTACTCATGGCCCCCGGAAATTTTGATATAGCTGAACACATTTACTGATACCGCTGGTCACTGTGCTCCTACCCAGACCACACAAGGCAGGGAACTACAAAGAAAACAAAATGAAGTAAAATGCTTGATAATGCAAAAGGTGGGATTTTTTTTTAAAGGAAATCCTTGCTAAACAAACTCCTCATACAATTGATTGACTTTCCCTTCTGTTTTTTTGTAAATTGAGAATTCCCTCTTCAAGAAGAAGATAGAACACATCCTCTCCATCAGTTGTACAGGTGAGGATGGCAACTCAAGTCTTTTCCCCCTGAAACTGCTTATAGAAATACCAAGAAACTTGTATTTACACAACCCATGCTTAAATAGGGTACCTTTCAAAGTTTCTTCCATTTCTTTGAATACTCCTAACTGTACATTACAACATTAACCCTATGTTCAGGAGTTCTGTGCAGTAAAATGCCACCTCAAAATTAATATTTTACAAGTTGTTAAAATGTAAATCATAAGTTGTGTGGAGCCTTATTCTAAGATAATAAGTACACAGAAATCTTGATACAAGTTGCAGTGTTTAAATTATCTCCCTCCTTCCTTTATCCTCTTAGTCAGATTCATTCACTGAACACAATGCCTATTCTCCGTCAAGCCAACCACAGACACAAGGAACCTGGTTTCAGCAAGAAAGGCTGCTGTACTCAGGAAGCTCATACAGAAATCCCATAGGGTTGGCAAAAGACTACACCACACCTCAAGAGCATGATGTAGAGGTCGTCTGCACAACGTTCCCCTCTTAGGCACTAAACGCAAAAAGAAATAGGGCTTTGGCTTATTGAAATTTCAGAAAAAGATTTCAAAGGTTCAAGAAAAATCTGCTTAACCTCAAGAGTTGATGGGCTTTTGGTGGCGTGGCTGAGGGCGATTCACAACTGGGCTAGGTGGTTGTTCTGCCCTAGACCTACTTGAAAGAAAGACCGATTCTGGAAAAACAGGTAAAATAAGGTGCCTTTCCTGTACCCAGCCAACAAGCCTGCAGACAAGAAGGAATCTAAACAAGGTAAATAAATAGTTATGCACTTTGAAACAGTGACAAAAGTTTAGTCCCACAAGGTTTGCTGGTTTTGTCCTTCCCTTTTCATGCTTGATCATCCCCTGAACAGTCCAGGTACAGAGACACAAACACTAGGAAGGGAGGATCACCCCGTGTCAGTGTCAGTCTTGAGGTGAGTGTCAGAAAAGCTGGGAGGCAGCAACATATGGAGAGAATGAGGTCAGAATTCACTAAGACTACCCACTCTGAGAAGGAACGGGACGGCAGGACCGATAGCTCTGTGGTCAGGCTTTGAGGGGAGGCGGGTCATGGGAGGACTTCGTGGAGAAAGCTGGGTCCGCGCGACAGCGCGCGGCAGAAGAGGGAATTCAGAAAGACATGGGGACGAGGAGGGCAGCAACGACCCTGTTTGAAGTGAGGCCAGGCAGGGGCTGTGGTCAGCGGGAGTAAGGGTAGCAGCCAGAGGGCCGAAGGGTGATGAGGGACTAAGATCTACAATCAGCTATCTCTGGAAGAGAAAAGGTTCAGGTTCCCGGCTGATGGAGTTGAAACCAAACGTCCCCGGAGACCTGCTGGAGATCCTGTGCCAAGAGGACTCCCAGCAGGTGGTTGGGGTGCCACTCGCGTCTAAGGATGTTTTGTGGGAGCTCAGCCCTGTGCCTGATACCCTGGACTCCCTGGTACTCACCAATTCCATCCCAACCAGGGAAAGCGCCATCCAGGGCGCGTGAGGGTAGCGCAGCGCAGGCGGGACCAGGGCTTGTGGCGGTGGCGGCGCTGTCCTAGAAGCAGAGCTGGAGTCGGGGGACAGCCAGGCGGCGAGAGCGGCAGCAGGGGCGCAGGGCACCGGGGGCGGGGAGAGCCGCTGCTCCAGAGCTGCAGCGCCCCGCGCGCTCTCTGCCCATCTCCGGGGCTGCTGAGGCTGCTGCTGCCCAGAGCAGCCAGGCGAGGGGGAGGGGAGCAGGCACGCGGCAAGGAGGGAGAGCAAAGAAAGGCAGGAGGGGGGGAAGGGATGCGCGAGGGGAGATGGAGATGATCACCGAGAGTTGGGAAGAGAAGGGAGGAGCACAGACGCTGAGTACAGGTTCTCACTAGAGGAGCTCCGAGATGAGGCTGTGGGTCTTGCCCCAAACCCCTGCCACGCCATGCTTCCCCCTTCGCGCCCTTTCCTTTGCCTCTTCCTCGGGTGGAGGTGGCTGGGAATACCCACGCTCTGCCGAGGCTGCAGTTTCAGCAAGCTGCCGCTTGTGCTGAGCTGGGAGGCTGCAAAGACAGAGCTCTAGGCGCCAGGCCTGTGGCACCTGTGCGTGCACACACAGCCGCTGGTTCCTTTGCTGAGGCTCCCAGATGCCCACTCTCAGCCTGTCACCTTCCTCCACTCTCCTTTTCGGTCAAACTGTGATTCTGTACGTGCATCAACCGCATCTATGGAGTTCTCTATTGCTGTTTGTTTCCCTGGGCGCTATTTGGCACCGATTGTCCAGCCAGAAGGCAACAACAGGGAGCTCAGGACCGGCAACCTTCTCGTGTCCCTTGAAATCTGCTGCCTGGATTGAGGTGTTTGTTCTCCCCTGGTGTTGACCAGCTAAAAAAGGATGATAAAAACAACAATATTTGTACCAGATTATCTTAGTGATTTAAGAAGGTCGTAAGTGTGAAGGGCAGGGCTGCAGTTAGTATAGGTTTTCCTCTTTAGCCAACATTAAAAAATGAATAGGTAAGTAAGTAGGTAGGTAGACAAATGATAGATAGATAGATAGATAGATAGATAGATAGATAGATAGATAGATAGGTAGATAGATGATGGATAGATAGATAGATAGCAAAAAAGGGCTCAGCCTTCATTACCCCTTCTCCCATTTTACTAGGATAGGTTTGTTTACTGTGTCAGGCTGCAAATCAATCCTGGCTATTTATTCTTAAACTGCAATGATTCAAATACATATAGAAACTATCTTTAGTGCCTCCTCCTACACTCCAAGAACTGGGAAATAAAGTCACACATTTAGTAAATACAAAGACAACCAGAGTATTATTGACTGATTCCTGTGAACCTTGATTTTCGCAATCTTCATTAAATGGGGATAGGCAGCAGGCAGGGAGCAAGTGGATGATGTGGATACAGGTGGAAAGTGGAGTGTAATAAAGCTCTCCTCAAATAATACAGGGAGTGCCTCTGTACTCCTTGACAGAGAAGTGGAGGCAAGGAAGTTATGGTGTGTGTGTGTGTGTGTGTACCCACTCATGTGCATACATGCTGCTTTTTGACATGTAGTAATCTTTCCTCTGCTAAAGGAATTTAGTCTCTAGAATAATTTAGACATTTTAATTTACATAATTATGTCTTATATAACAAATGTACTCATATTAAAATAAATGCGCTCTCAGATGTAAATGCAGTGTGAAAACATTTTTATTACAACAAGCCAGGACTAAATATTAATGAAAACCTTCTATCTCTTCCTGTATCTTTTTACATGAACAAAAGTAAAAGTAAAATTTTAGTGAAAATTAATATTTGATAGTGTCCCTGACTTGTTAGACTCTTTCCTGTTGAGCATGCATGCTAATGAAAATATTTGATTTCACATCTACCTAATGATGAGTAAGAGAAGGATCTATTCAATAAGGGCCAAGAGACCATACACCCCAGCTCCAAGGGGCATATGCAGCAGTGCACCAGATGAATCTGCCTACTGTTAATCGCTTAGAGAACATGGAAAGAAAAAGACTGATGAAGACTAATGCCCCACTCAGCACTCTTGTCTTTATCACAAGTGAACGGTAAAAGTTTGCGAATGGTTATTGAGAACTAGCCAAGATACAGATTTTCTCATATGTGGTTAGGATATCACTCATGTTTTCATATTTAATATAACGTTTTATGTAACTTAATATAACTGAGAAGTTCACACACACATTCATTGTATTTTGATATTAACCACTGCCCATACCCTTCACTCCTTTCTTGATCCATCCCTATCCCCACCTCAATTTCATATGCTCTGACTTTGTTTTTCCTAACTGTAGTAGTTTGAACAATTGTGGCCTCTATAGGCTGATATATTTGAATAATTGCTCCATAGTTCTTAGAACTGTTAAGAAAAGATTAGGGATTAGTTAAGGATTAACACACCTTGTTAGATGAGGCATGCCACTGGGGGTAAGCTTGAGGTTTCAAAAACCTCCTGTTATCCCTAGGGTGCTCTCTGCTTCTTGCTTGTAGTTTGAGATGTGGGCTCTCAGAGGTTCCTACCATCATGATTCGGCTTCACCATCACAGACTTTTATCCTTTGGAGCCACTATCCCAATTAAATACTTCCTTTATAAGTTGCCTGGGTTATGGTGTTTTATCACAGCAATAGAAAAGTAACTAATATAATAGCCCACCAAGTCAGGTTTGCACTCGTGGGTTTGAGGCCATCCACTAGAGTACAGTTGGCCTCCCAGGGGACACCCCACTAAAAGAAACAGACTGTCTTGCTCTCAGCAGCCATTGACTGTCAGCTGCTCAGTAGGTGGTATTGGAAGCTCTTGTGCTTGGCTTGACTGGGAACACTACAGTACTAAGAGGTCTTCTGTAAGCAGCCTCAGCTACTATGAGTTCATGAATGTAGTGATCCTGTCATGTCCTAAAGATGTTGTTTCTCCCAGGTCTTTTCAAACCCTGGATCAGTCATAATGGGACATCTTTATCATACCTCAATTTGAGAAGTCTTAGTGTCATCTCCTCATATTTGGTTCATCACTTGGCAATAACAATACTTCTGTAGGCTGCTTTTACTGTTGTGAAATGGAAAAGAATGAAAGCTAAAATTCCTTAAATCCAAGCAAAGAGAATACAGCAAAACACATTTACAATTTCACCTCAGCTTTCTTCCATAGCCATGTGACCCACTAGAGACAAGAAGAAGAGAGAGATAAAAATATGAAAGGGCATTCTGATTTTCCTGCCTGTGGACTTCGATTTTGATTTCAATTTTGGATGAATGAAAATGTTCAGCTCTACCATAGCATTCTTTCTTTCTCCTTTCTCCTTTGCATCTCTATTGCTGTATAACTATTGTTGGGGTCCACAGAGGTTTTCTAGTGCGATTTGAGCTTGCTTTACACAGCAGGGCTGCATAAGGGGATGGATTGACCATGTGCACGGTTACCAGATGTTTGGAAAGGGCTGCACTTGGCTGTGCAGGGGAGAGGTCTTTTGTTCCAACCCTTGACATTTCTACAAATAGCCCTTTAGAAGAGACAGAAGGGGATTATTGGGGCCCTCCCGAGGCTATCCTATGTTTCTATCTGTCTTTCTCCTCTATATTCCTATCTAAATATTTCTCACTTCTCCTTGTTCAAGAGTACTCTGGGGGGAAAAGTGGGAGCAGGTCTCCCACAGATGGCTCCAGAAACAGCGACCTAGGGATTTGACAAAAGCATGGGGAGTTGACCCTGTGAGAAGCAGTTGGACATGTCCAGTTTTGTAGTGAAAAATAAGGCAGGGGTTTTTATTCTCAGGAGTGAGGGTTAGGCAGCAAAGTGCCAAAGTTGGAATGTGAGGCTGCAGCATAGATATATGTCCCTATCAAGGTGTCTTTCTTATTTTATCTATAAAAATTAAGGACAAAATGTAAGATAGGGTAGGGATATAGTGTAAAGAAAACATAGGATAAAAAGAAAAATATATAAAGTAGAATGCAGGAATATAGCATAAGAAAAAAAAGCATAGGATAAGATAAGCAACAAGACAGAGGAACTATGTCCTTGACTTCCAACTATGGGATTGTGAGCGCAAAATCCTGGGGGAAATCTATCAAAGAGGAGAAAAAATTAGGAGAAAAAGAGTCCTATGTAAGCTTTTGGCCTGTGAACAGTCCCAAGCAGCAGAGGAAAGAATTTTCCCTGAGGTGGACATGGGAGAGGCAACACCCTCTGTTCTGCCAGCAGTGCCTGAGAAAACATGTACAACACCATTCAAACAGGGTCTGTTACCTTTTGACTATGAAGTCAGAAGTTTAGAGAAGAGAAGTCTTGGGAAAAACTTGGTAGTCTCTCTCAAAAACTGAAAGCTTTCTTGGAAAACCTTAGCAATTTCTCTCTGAAAAACTAAAAAGCTTTTCAGGTCTTCGCTTCTCAGATTTTCTCTAAGGGCAAAATTTATTTCACTTGGAAATAACATCTATGGGAAAATCACCTGTGGTTCGCTCTAAGAAGAAAACAAACCCACACCTCTTGGAACAGGGCAAAACCTTTCTCCTAGTCTTTCCTTCAAGCCTGTAAAAATAGCAGTCAGAAATTCCTCTGCAGCTAGCACCTAGCCATAGACGCTGAGGCAAGTGCAGGCAGAGAGCTGCAGAGCGCTCTGCTGTCTGGTTAGGCAGATTCGTCCAAGGAGGAGCTGCTGGTGCGGAGGAAGCAATAAAACTGAGCCTTGGCTGTGGCTGCTGCTACCACTGCGTCAGGGGCTGTGTGTCTGAGGGAGGAGATAAGCCATGGCAAAACTAAGAATTATCTGGGAGAAAATATCTCTGAAAAACCTTTAGTTTCATTTTCCTTTACTGACTCAGTAAGGTGGAGGAGCAAGCAAGCCCTGAAGGTTTTTTGCCTCTGGTACTAAAACACCAGTCTGAGTGCACACAGACAGGAGTGACCTGCTATGGGGACAATATCAGGGGGAAAAAAAAGAACGAAAAAAACAAAAACAAAAACAAAACCACCTATCAATGCCAGCTCAGGGAGAACAGAAATCTCCCAATCTCCCGTGGTAAAAGAGCAAAAGCTTGACTCAGAAACCCCTTGATCTAAAAGCAGAAACTTGACTTTAGCCGTGCTAAGGGAACAGAAGTGGTGGTGTACTCAAAAGGCAGCATGGGAAACATAGTCCGTAAGGTCATTCATAACAGAGAGACAACATAGAGAAAGGCACTATGGGAAACATAGTTTTTCAGATCAAAATGGCAGTACTGCTCCACAAAACTGCTTTTTAAGCTTAAAGTGAAGTTTCTTTTCTAAGCAACGCTAGAAAGCTTAACTTTATTTCCCAAAGACTAAGAACAGACAAACAGCTTGCCTCTCAGGAGATAGTGGAAACACTAATACTGTTTATCAACAAGTTACTCTAAAAGCCTTTAGAAAACAAGGGAGAATAGACCTTATACTGGGAGATGGCTTCAGGTATGGAAAAAAAAAAAAAACTTATGAGATTGAGTTGGGCTTAAGATTCAAGAAAGAAACATTGATATCATTAATAAATGTTCATGGTAAACTTTTAAAAAGCAGCTTTAAAAACTTAAAAAAGGGTAAAATTGTGTGAGAGTTTGGTGATGAGTGTAAAACAGAGGAATATCAGCTCCAATGAAAAGCTGAAAACAAATGGAGCTCAGGCCACACTGCTTTT